GCTCCCATGAAAAGAGAGAAGAGATCTCTTGCGAAAGAGAGATAAAGGGAGAGAACGAGTAGATCTCATGTGAGATGGAGAGAGAAAAACATCTCATGAGAGAGAGGGAGAGAAAGAAAGATTGATTGATGAAGAGAAAGAGAGGGAGTGATGAGTTAGATTTTCTTTAAGTGTTGTTAGTCATTAATCTCGTCAATGAAAAATAGTATGAGTTATGTTCTAATCTGATTTGCAAAAAACTCATAGATAGCAGCAAGTCAAATTGTCTCTTCAGGTAATTTGAGGCTTACTATTTAATGCTCGTTCTAATGAAGGATGGAATGAGAAAAAGAACAAAGGGTCATGGATTGGATGGAGAGAAGAAGGGGGAACAATGAATCTAGATCTGATTTCTCAGATTTGGTCGGCATAAGAACGAGAATCAATTGTTCGTATCTTCTACTATTTAATTCCTAATTAAAATCTAACCTAAACTAAACTATATAGAATCTGCTTCATCACAAAACTAACCAAGTGTCACCGTTTCTTCTTCCTTACTTCCACCAGGGACAGGTGTTCACTCGAAGCAGCAGGAGAGACCTCATTCAGGCGAGATGAGGAGCGTTCCAGATGGGCACACTTGTATTCACACAATGTGGAGCTTGAAAAACCCTAAACTCCTTTCGGCTGGTTGAATTGTTGAAGGCTTCCTTCATCCAAAGCTGTTCATAACATTAGTTTTCTGAAACATATAAAGTGGTGTTCCCTCTCTCTCTTCTCTCTAGTTTGCCTCTTGTGCACCTCTCGCACATACACAAGAAACTGCCTGAAGGTTCGAGTAGCTTCTTGATAAGTCTTCATTATCATGAGTTAATAATTAGTAAATAATATAGTTTTAGCCTTAACTCATGATAAATAGACTTATATTTGTGTTAAAGAATGATTTTTGGTTTTCAATTGATTAACGTGAATTTTTGGGTAATTATGTGATTTTATACGATTTTTACAGTCTTACTTTTGAGATAAATGAAGAACAAATAAAAATAAAAATATTACAAAAATGGGGGGACCCGCCGGGCCCGCAAGTGGGTCGAAAACGCAGTCGGGGAGTAAACCGCGAGCAGGGGCTCGAGCGGCTTGGCTTGGAGACCGATAGGGCACGCGTACGCCACTCCCCCCTTTCCACGTCACTGGTGGCCAGCCGGCTGTGGGGCAAGGAGTGGTCGTACACGCGAGAGAAGGGACTTTGCACATTGTGTCTAACATTAGTATATATTCGCCTGAAAAATCGGCGTACAACCGATGTGGGACTAAACCCCCGTCACACCTTCCTCAGAAGAGGCGGACGACCAGCGCGGGTTCGAATCCTCCCAGAGTCAAAATTCATATATTTTTATCTGATTATCACGACTTTCCTGCAAATCGCCGGTGAAGGATTAAGCAACGAGAATTGCTAGATCATCGACGAAAATCTCGTCAACGCGATTCGCAGAGCATTGCTACTAAAATTGCTGAACGATTCGCGATAAAAGGATTGCGAATCCATCGAGTAAATCATCTCCGATTGATCGACGAACAAGCCGTCGTCGGGAAGAGGATGATCCGTCGAGAGACTAGTCGCCACCTCCTGAGAGTATACCAGATGCGATGAAGAGCCTCCTCTTGCTGCACAGACCTGAGGATGAAGCTCCCTGACACGCGCCCCACCTCCATCCAGCTCCTCTCCGTCAGGTGACAGCCGCCGGAGAGCCGCAAAGTCGCCATTTTTCTACTCTGCCGGGTGACAGCCGCCGGAGACGATTCGACGACCCACTTCATTGATCTCTAGACTTCACGAGAAGATCTAGAGATTGCCCACGTCATCTTTGTCCAAGGAGAGCCTTTGAGGCCGTGGACACTGCACGACGATCCTCCCAAACGCTCAGGATTCCGGTGCATCGCCGACGCATTGCCGTCGCAACGCCGAAACTCTGTTTTCCTGCTTTCAATTTAATTTACGCTTCATTTAGTGATAATTTGTTGATTTTAATTTACCAAACTATACTTTGTTCAATTACGATTCTTCCGGCTTTTACAGATCTTAATTTGATTAATTGAGTCGTTTGTAATCGTCTACGTAAGAATCGCCAGGCGGAACTCTGTTTCTGCCTGATTCGCATTCGCCAGGCGCTGACATCATCCTGACATCTGCACCCTTATTTCCTTTTTTCGTGAATTTTAAATATATTTCCTTTTTATTTCTTAGTATAAAATTCGTAAGAAAATCTTATTCATTGAGAAAAATTCTAAATAATTACCAGATATTATATTACATTCCTGTGATCGACCTGGAAAATTACTGCTATTTTTGGAATTTTTATTGAATTATAATTGATATATTTATTTAGAAATACTTTTAAATATCTGAAAATTCGTATTTTCTAGTTTTATAAATTTTATATTTGCGTGATTTAATATACAACGACTGAGTCACGTCACTTCCTCTCCCACATGACCACGCTTCATTGAATCGGTGGACTCCCTACTTGTGAGCTCTCTCTTGAGCCATCAGATCTTTCTTCTACCGACATGCTGCCTCCTCACTCCTATGAGTGATGATTGAGCTGTTGTATCACAGCCATTGATGGAGTGACTACAACCTAAGGTAGAAATTCCTAAAATGCTAGAAAATGATTAGAAAAATCATGAAAGAGCTGTATTTAATGTAAACTAGAAAATTATCTTTATTAACGTAAATAACACATTAATAATCTCATAAAGCAAAAAAATTGACTAAGTCATAGTGTATTCCAGCACATTATTCATGTGCTATTAATACTCATTACACATCAAAAGCTTGCAAATATGTTATTTGCTTTCTGAAAATTTTTCATTTATTTTTATGTTAATTCCTTTTTTCATGATATAATTCAACTTATGAGTCAAGTAACTTGATCATGATAGTTTTTACACTTGAAATGACCTGACACCATGTAACAGTAAGATGGTGGTTTTAATTTCCAACATGTCATGAGGCTATCGATTCATTTGTAATAAGTCTTTTAGAAAAGTGTTGTAAATATTCTACAAGAAGTTAATTGACTTAGTATAAAGAACAGTAGCTTGCCTATAACGGCAGTGCAACAAGAAAAATTATATAAAGGACGTTTGCTACAGTCATTTTTAATTGGCCATTGCAAACCCTGGGATAGAAATATTGGAATGACTATGGCCAGTTCAATCACACCAAGTTTTGGACTATTTTAAGTTTTGAAAATTTATTCTTTAAAGGTATTAACTTCAACATCATTCAATATCCAAGACCAATTATTTATTTAGAGATCTGTTTGTAGATGTTGAAGTTTTCAGAATGGTGGCAGACTCAAGAAAACCATGAAATAAAGCCCTTATAATTTTTTTAATTATATAATTGTAAATTATTTTAAGTGATATTAAGTAGGGCTACAAGTGCAAGGGACTTAGCCTGATCTAGAATGTTTTGAGAACATGTCAGCTAACCAAGAGCCCTAAAGTTAAGGTGCTTATAGAACATGATCCCTCTTATAACCATCAGTCTAGAACATGGTTGACCATTGGTATTCATTCTCAATAAATTTTATGAAAAGGGTTAACAGAAAGACAAGGTCCTTACAAAGTGGAATATGCTGCTAGTGTTGAACTACCATAAACCATTGGTTTTAAATTTTATTCTTCTAAGTAAATTCATGAGTTGTCTTACAAGTCCACTAAGTTTGTGCAGGTTAATACTAAAAAAAACCACTAGAGGTCCATAAAATCCTGATTCATCTCCTGCCCTCTTGATTTCTCAAGCATGCACTTACAACTCACTCATTTGCACCCAGCCGAACAATCCCCCATGAGTACACCTATTAAATAGGCTCATAAATACTATGATTACCTCTCCTTAGCTTTAAGTGTATAATCATTATTTTTCATTGATCTAGTTACTAGACCAAAAAGCATTTAAGCTTGACCATATCTTTGGCCAGAAAGTACTCTACCTTGCTGATTAATGGATACCACGATCCTCGTCATAATCATTGATACCTGTTCATAGACATGAAATCTCCTAGCACCCCAGTACGGTTGTAGCTTTTTAGAAATTAGGTGCCCCACAAGAATTAATTGGCCTCTTCAAGGCTTATTTTATTTTGATATATTACTTTTGTTATCATGAAAAAATAGAATTTAATTTTTTTTCATGTATGGTTAAATTTGGCATCATTTTTTTGTGTCTAATTGCAAATCATTAGATAAATAAAAGTTTCATCTTAGGTTTATATTAATGTATCTATTAAACTAGAGGATACAAGAAACCAATGATTGTGAGGTAAAACTATGCCAACATTGATGACAAAACCTCCGTGTTCTGGTTATTATTCCACTACTCTTGCCAACACAGTTCATACGATTTTATAACTTTTAAGTAGTAATTTGGCATGCGAGTTATTTATGGTTTCCATACATAATATATGTATGGAAATGAGTAATGAAATATGTATGGTTTTAAATTACACTCCATAGGATCATGATTGATTTATATCTGTGGTTTTTTGACACGAGTAAATTAGTGTTCATGATTGTTCTCTATTGGCTTTTAGTGTGAATGGAACTAATGCAAAGGTTTCAGACACTAATTGCTTTCGTTGATGTTTAAGTTGACTAGATTAAAAATATATTTTTATTCATTATGAATCTAATTTTTATAACATCATATTAGCAATGTAATTCTGATCACAATGGAAAATTTGTTACATTTATATTGCCATGTTAAATTGATGAACTTTTCCACTAGATGTAAACATTGAACAGCTGGGGGATGTACTTGATGACTTGATTTTTGACAATAGATGGGTAAAAAGTTACAGAAGGCCCCATATGGGATCAGGATTCAAGCACATGACTTCCACTTCCTTAGAACGCAAAGCAGGGAGAGGAACTGAAATATCTTGGAAACATATTCGTCATATTAAAAGGATTTTGACTAGCTCGCCACAAAGTAAAGAAGGTTGTTTGCTGTGTTATATGGTCGCCTGAACTGGAACTCTCAGGTTGCCTCTGGTGTTTTTGGCACCAACAATGTTCATGTGACTTGTTTGGTTTCGAGGATCTTGACAAATATGCACCATATGACACAAGTCTAAACTGACAACCTTCTGAAGGTTTGTTACAATGATTGGACCATAGGCGAAAACCATCTTCTTGCACTGCATATAAATTTGATAATTCCTTTCAAAATAATCTCAAATATCTGATTATGTTAAAAAATTGATGCTGGCTAAATGATAGCTTGAGAGGACATGCAGTCAATTCTTACATCATTGTAATTTTATTTCTGCGATGAGTCAGTTCGAGAAGCAAAATGGTTGGTGGTGATACAATACATATTGGTCATTCACTAGGGTCTGTTATCAACGTTGCATGCATGTAAATATTAAAATATGTTCATGTGACTATGATAGTACGGTTATGAAGAATTCTATCCTAGCATCAAAACATGCTATTCTCGGTAAAAGATGATATGATAATCGCAATAAAGTTTCATGAAAATAAGAGACTGAAGATTTATGCCTTGCGTAATTTCATCTACTGCTGGTAGACGAATGTATTGAGTGAAAATTTGTGCTTTTTAAGAAAAATGTAAATCTATTCTCTGCATTCCTGCCCTCCCATCATCCCCTACTTACTTGAGAGACAAATACTTCCGTTTCACAAGCTTTGAGAATTGCCGATATCAACTTAAGCTGAAAATAAAGGGATGGAAAAATAAGAGGAAACTCTCTCTCATAAGGGAAACTAATTATAGGAAACGTATCATTCTTGCCTGTTTGTCGGGATCCTCCAACTGTTTACGGATTTTATCCAAAATATTCCAGCATGCAGCACAGCTTCCGTTTGATTTCAGCTGATGAATAAAAAATACTAATAAGTTTCGATCAGCGAGTAAATCCTTGAAAAAGCTATTATTTACCAAGAAAAGGATGCAAGTTTAGAATGTCGCAGTTCTTCTGACCTCAGTGGTGGGTTTTAGATTTGGTAAAGACGCAGTGCTGTTGAAAACAGTTGTCAAATCAACGGGCAATCCATTCTCTAATTTACTCAGAACACTGTTTAAGTGTTCCCCAATATGTCGAATCTGAGTCTGGCCAGGAGGTGGCATTGCTCCGCCTTGAGAATTTACCGGGCAGAATCCTTTGTTTGTACAGAAATTCTCATCGTGAAAAAACTCTTGGAGGAACGTTGTGCCTTTATGTTCATACATCTCCGCAATCATTTCACACTGCTATCAGGAGAAAATACATGCCTGTGTAAACAAACTACAATCAAGTAACCTCAGTGCACTAGCACTTAATTTTGCGCACCTTTTTCTCTGAATCAGCTGGCATAAGGTGACAAAATATGTTGCCTAGATTACCAACTTCGTTTGATAAGCTTGAAGCACTCAAGAATTCCTTGGAATTTTTCGAAATCTTCAAGCATGAATCACATAATGCTGTCGACAGGTCATTGGAAGAAGGCATCTCATTCCTGTGAAGCATTTCTTCTTGACTGATAATGAAATTACCGTCCGGAATTGGATCATTTCCTAAATGCAGTATTGGAAAAATTCTCGATTGGCTCAAAAAATATAGATGCTGATAATCAAAGCTCACTCTTTAAGACAAATAAAAATACAATAACTATAATTCTTCTGAAATTTCCATTATCGCTGGAATTTCTGTACGAACAGAAGACGGATTTTGTTTTATAAATTGAATCGGATTCCGTCAAAATACGAAATGACGAAATTATCAATTTTTGGGGGGCTTTTAACATAAGCGAAATAATTTTGTAAATTAGGGCTCTGCAGAACTAAAGTGATAACGCTTATGCTTAAATATGAGAAGTTCAAGAAGAAATAGACAGCACTTTTGCCACGCTTACCATCGGCATTAGGATCTGAAGTCGACATGAAAGCATCCCTGATAGACTCCACAGAAGCTACGGAGAGGAAGAGGATGACAAGGAAAGACACCAACCCCATCTAAGGTCGGGCTGTTTACCTCACTTCTCCGTGATCTGCACTGGGTAACTTAAAACGGAGGAAGATGGTCTTTGAGAACGATAAGCCGGGTGAGGTTCCTAAGTACACATATATTCATTTCGAACTGGCCGATCGAAGAAGCTACCTGGAAGTTTCAGGAAACTTGTTTTAACCTTTCAAGGACTCTCTCAGTTTAAAATCAGAATCTTGAGTCACTTTATTATATTCGGTCTCCCTTATTTTTGCAACGTTACAACCTTCACAAGTCGAAGGTTGAAAATGTGGGTCACCTAGTAAAGGGCTGCCACTTATGGCTAAATGAATTCCCCCACTGTCGATGATAAGCACTATTTGACGTAAGCGAAACAAAAAAGAAAGCTTATACTACGGATTATGTAGCTTCAATTTGGTTTTGGTCTTTGTATAGTTACTGAGCCCCTTCCATGACGTTTATCGTTCGAGAGAGCTTCTGGTTGTGTCGAATATTTCCTTCATAGTATGATTTTAGTTGCAAAGTTGCTACTGGCATGACGGTTTTTTGGCTGTGTTGTAAATTTCTTACTCGACCGAACGATACCAACGGTTACCTACGGTGAAAATAGCCGTATCCTGTAACAATGATCTTCCAAAGAGTGCAGAGCGGTTGCAGACCGAGAGGCCCATAATTGCTCCTCTTGTGACAATCGTTATGAAGCGAAATTATGGATGTCGAGACTCTCCGTGGAAAACGATTTCTCAAAAAGAGGTCTGGAGTGCATCTTTTTGTAATCATTATTTCTTATCATTTTACACATTTATTTACACAAAAGCATGCTAATGGATGTGTATTCATCATCAAAATTATATCCTTTTAAAGGTTTGTTCCTCCATATCTACTGATTCTGATTTTCACGTTAAAAAATTAAAGAAGCTGCCATCTAAATTAAAGTGTCGAGACATTTCTGAGATATTCTGGTGAATGCATTTTCCCTTTTCGTCTCTCCTCTAGAACTAGTGTTGAGACTTCCAAGTTCAACCACATGTCGAGACTACCAATCATAATCACATAACAGACATTTTCTTATATTATATGTTGGTGGTTTATAATTGACTAGGACTAAGATTCAGGTAAAGTTTGTGACGCATTTGATATCAATAAAAATAATTATAACGTCTGAATTATAGTATCAAAGATTGACGTTCATTCTTTTCAAGCCAGAGGAACGACCGGAACAGTCTCTTAGCCAGACCACAATGAACCCCCGGACTGCTGCAGATACGCAGATCTACAGATTTTGTGGGGAGGCGTGTAAAGGAGGAAACTGCGGGGAATGACGTTCCGGGGTCTCGAAGCGGTGGGAAGGGCAGTGGTCTCTTTTGGACTAATATAAAATGAAGGTTTTTCCTTCGATGATATGACAATCATTTCACTAGGCACTGTCATTGTCACACCGTTGCCAAAGTGTGGGAGGAACATAGACGAAAACCAACAAGTTGAAGAATTTATTGGTCAATAAAACGAAATGACGTTCAGTTGTTTCAACTAGCTCAAGCACAAGGAAAAAAAAAGCTCCAGCATTCCCTCCAAGTTTGAGAAACGGCATGCTCCAGACCAGTATCATTTATTTCCAACGCTCTTCTAACTACATTAAACTTCAACATCTTTACTACCTAAATTTACAATAATTATGCTCTTTCTTCAATTTGGTTACATGGTTTGATTTATTCTTTTTGTTTTCCCTGTGCCGCAATATTTGAAAACTCTGATTGAATATTTCAGCCCCTCTTTTTTATGACAAGGATCGATCACTGAACATTCTAGACCAAAGTCTTGAGAAAATGATTTGCAAATATCACTAAAATAGAACTCTGAGAGTACAAGGGCTGACCCAAGTTCCAACATTTTCTAATCTACTATCAAGACTCACTCCATAATTCGAATCAAAAAATTTATAAACAATGTATCCATGTATCAACCACTTATTGATAACCCATTAACCAATGTTATTAGGCACCTATATCACTAAACTGTAAATCGAAGTTTAAGATATTTATGATTAGCTTTTATAGTGTACGATTTTCATAGGTCAGAGATATAGTCTCTACCTAAAGTTAAAAAGAATTGAGTACAATCTTATTGGTGACAAGTTTTAGTTAGCCTATCCAAATGACTTTCAGAAAGGAGAAGTCAAATGTTAACATACGGTTCCAGTTATAAAATCTTAATGACAGTTCATTTATGATATATTATCAGTTTTCTAATGAAAAATTTGTAAAACATCCAGACTTATTTACGTAGGCTAATTTTAATTTTCTCATAAAACAAAAACTGAACCCAAATTAACATATATTTATATTTTAGAATTGTACATAATTCTATGACCGATCTGAAAATGGTTTTCGGCAAATATTGTGCAGGAACTAGGAAGAATATATTTGAGAGATCCATGAAAGTCCTTACTGTTACAATGAAATCCACATAGCTGGAGAAAATAATAGAGCTATCAGATTTAGATTTCTGTGTTTTTATTAAATCTCTCAGAAGTATTCCATGCGGGAGCATCGTCAGCCTATCATCCAGTCGGTCAGCCAATGTACTATTCGTATCATGTTATTATTTGAAAAATGAAAATTATCTAATGTTTTCGTAAAGGAAACTGTCCCTATGTCCATATAGATTATGAGTTGTATATCAACATTCACAAAGAACATTGGAATTTTCCTACTTCTTGGATGGATTGGTGTGTATTCATACTAAACTTTGTCATGTTCAGACATGTTCAATGGATATAAATTTAAAATCTATTTATCAAGCACAATTCATTGATTTCAATAAGCCTCCCTGATGCAAAGTCCTTTGCATACATTCATATCATGACACACATCATAGATCTTCAGCACTCTTAGAGTGGTTGTCATTAACATAGGGCCATATTCAGATACCGCTCTCTTACACTGCAAAGTAGACAATATTTTCTTTAGACGTTTTACTCATAATTTGAATCAAATACTTTTATTTATGTGATCTACATAGAAGATGCCTTACCACCCGAATGTTCCTTTTCTTCAGTGATGTTGGATAGAAATAATTTCCAATTATTTCACATGCTCCCCTCAGTAGTTTGATCATTACGAACTATACATGGAATAGATTAAAGTCAATACAATAGAAGGTCCCACACAACACTTCAAAGAATATAAACAAGCTGCAACAAGCACCTGCTTAACTGGGCTTCGTAATGTGCTACGTACTTGTCGCACAAGGACATGGCAAAAAATGCAATTTTCATCCTCGTTTAACTGAAAAGGAGAAAAATGTTGTTAATAAGTAGAGAGAAATGATCTGAACTTTATGCATGCTACCAAAAGTTCTATGAAAATGTCTGCTATCAAGATACAGATCAAATATTGATTCGCATATAAGTAAAATCACAAGAGAAAATATCCACAATGCAAATTTTCCGAAGTAAAAGAATATAAAATATAATTCATAAAGATTTGTTGGGTGAATATGTATCTTGTCAACACCTAAAATAGGAAATTCAAAATCTGTCCCAATGCTTTACAGATTTTACCTTTACTTTTTACTTTTAATTTTGTCCAACTTCTTGCTAAAAAATATTTTAAAATGCTAACCTGCATTAGAACCATTTATAGATTTTAAGTTGATAAACACCTTCATAGAGTTAAACTTAATACTTGATGGATATTAGAGTAGGCAATGGTCTTAGCAGATGTTCTAGGGCTGGTCAACATCTTGGTTCCACTGTAAAATAATCCAGACTACTGATACTTGACTCAATAGTCAACCTATCATTTACAAAATTGTAAATGATATGCTGAATCGAGAATCTAATAACCTTTGACCCCATAGTTTTTACTAAGGATTAGTTTCCATCAATGTATATCACACGAAAGCTTGACAAGACAACAATAAGTCATAAAAAATTGTGAAGTTATATTTTGACTCTTAAAGGGTTCTTCATTATGACTTGAACTTCCTCTAGATATGGTATAAGCGTTGCCATACCAAAAGTAGAGCAATACGAATCCTCCAGTTTTCTAAGGAACAAGGTGTCTGCTGATGGACAAATTGGATCTCAACCTCAGTCTGTGCAGCATCTCATCAAGAACTAATAAAGCTTTATGTCTCCGTATCCTCTAGTTTCTAGTTTATTTATCTGCTTTAATTAACCAATGCTGAAAAGGAATTAACTTGACGAAAAACATGTACAACTTTTGATAATATAATATTAATAACGTTAATCATTAGACAATTTTCAAGAGCTTTCTTTAGGATGACATCATGACATGATGGGAAATTAGGGTAAGAGTGAAGCCAAGAGGTTGTATCAAGATTTGATATCATAACGACATTGTTCCCATGCATCTTCAATGAAAACTGGGATTTTATGCACTAGCAGTTCTTACTAAAGTTTCTCCAAAAATGTTAATCCTCCAAAACAAAGTGACAGTTTCTCTAAATTATACGAGTTTCTCTATCCAAAACTTTAAATTTGTTTTTTAAAAAGTTATTATGTTATAGATTAGCATGGAAGCTATCAATTGACTCTATGTCCATTAATATATTAAAAACTAATAATCCTTTGATTAAATTTACATAAAAAGTTCTTAACAATATATGAACTCTCATATGCATTTTGATAAACATAATCAATAGTTTTTTCGTCTTGATCTCTGCCAAGTTATTGATTTATTGATAACTCCCATTGTTGGTGTACCAAGTGATATCCCCAACACATATGTTTGACATCTGTTCTACTGTCCAGTTTTGTGAGGAGACAAAACCCATTATGAGAGAAGGAGAGGGGACTGCAGTGGGTTGCGAGATGATGATGCACCGGAGGGTGCCAGAAGGTGCACCAGGGAAGGGTAAGGCTGGCTGGCAAGAGGCATGGTGGGTGTATGCTGGAGGGAGAAGAATGTCCAATGAATGGGGAGGGAACACGACAGCCGTATACACAACAAAAGGACAAGGGGGAAGAGGGCTTACCGGGTCGGGATGAGGGCCACGCCAGAGGAGACAGGTAGATATTCCTTTCAAAAATATCGTCGTACCATATTATGGGTTCAAATAACTTTAGTTCAGGTAAATGATAATAGTCGGGCAGTTTATATGGGTTTATGAATTAAATCAGAGTTTTGTTTTACTAAAAATATAAGGATATCTTTTACTTGGAGAAAAGATTTAACACATGCCCACTTCACAGATATTTCTTTTATGAAAATCTATCATAATCAGTCTTTCTATTGTGTATTTGTGTGTAGGTTCAAGTTCACTAGTATGATGTATCGAGAAAGAGATATATGGCATTAAATACATGACTTATGCAATATTATTATGATTTTTGAATTTAAGAAAAGAAAAATTTATGAATAATTAAGAAGGAAAATTTAGATAAGAATGGGTACCTTTCCACCAATCTCAAAGGGAATCTGGCAGTCCCTTTCTAAAGCTATAGCAACCTCTTGAGATACAGTATGTCGGGCTTGAATTCAGAACAACAGGACCATGTAACATAAAATCTCGCGTCAAATTACTCAAAGGATGAACACATTGAAAATTCACTCTTGATTACCTCAGAAATCAGGCTGAAAATTTTTCATCAATTTTAATTTAAAATTAAAAATAGCACTCTGATGATCACACTCAACCCAATGGCTACTTTGAAAGTTCACTGATATTTAACTCATTAGAGGCATTTTAACTCAACGTTGTAAATTTTTCAGACTCAGATTTTCCATTTAACTTTAATAATTCACGCGATTATATGTCAATGTCTGATCTTGAAAACGTGCCATACGTCATTTCCTTATTTGTTTGATTTGATAATCTTTTTCATTAGAGAGACCCTTTCATAAAAAGTACTAAACTTGTTTGGCAGGATATTCGCTAAATTATGAACTTCAATATGGAAATGGGAATTACCACTTGCCTAAAGAGTAGTTCATAAAAAATGTCACTAGGCCTGACATGTGATTCAAATTATCCTTTTATGATTATTTAACAAAAGCTGGAGATGCGACGTTTCATAAACATTTTTTAGTTACTCTCGTTGGAAGAAACTTTCTTGCTTGGACATTAATTAAAGGAACCTTGATGAGGATTCCTGTTCATAAAACTATATGATTCTTATTTTAATGAAATGGTGTTGTTTATGAGAAAATTAAACAGTTATTTGAATGCCTTTGCTCTCTGGTACATAAGTGCAGAAAATGATTTTGAAGGTTCATGAAGTAGCCTCCCTTGCTTAAAGACTCCATTTAAGCACAGCTTTCGAATTTTTCTCTCACAGGAGTCCGAAATAAAGGACTAAAACATTCACTCTATACAAGTAAAGAACTTGAAATTTTCCTAGTGATTTTTTTTAGTTAAGAATAAATTCCAGGCAATCATATGACAAAAAATAAACAAATGAGTAA